TTGCTTTTGCTCCTTTGTCAAAGAACAGTTGAATGTATTTGTGTGGGTCTGTTTCTGGGCTTACTATTTTATTCCATTGATCTATTTGTCTCTTCTTTTGCCAACCCCACACTGTCATGATTACTGTAACTTTACAGGTCTTGAAACCTGGTTGTGTCAGTCCTCCTACTTTGTTCTTCTTTAGTATTATGTTGGCTATTCTGGGCATTTTGCCTTTCCATACACACTTTAGAATCAGTTTGTTGATATCCATGAAATAACTTGCTAAGATTTTGATTGGTGTTGCATTGAATCTACAGATTAAGTTGGAAAGAACTGATAGCACTGCTGAGTTTTCCTCTCCATAAACATGGAATATCTGCCTATGTAAATATTTGATTTCTTTTATGAGAGTTTGGCAGTTTTCCACATATAGACCTTGTACTTATTTTGTTAGGCTTACGCCTAAGCATCCCATTTTTTGGTGCTATTGTAAACAGTATTGTATTTTTAATTTCAAATTCCAATCGTTCATTGCTGGTCTATAGGAAAGCAATTGGCTTTTGTTTATTAACCTTACATAGTAGTCCCCCATCTGTGGTTTTGCTTTCCATGGTTTCAGTTACCTGCAGTCAACCACAATTCAAAAATATTAATTGGAAAATTACAGAAATAATTAATAAATGTTAAACTGTGTGCTATTCTGAGTAGTGTGATGAAATCTCGTGCCGTCCTGCTCTATGCTACCCAGTATATGCGCCACCTTTCTGTTCAGCATATCCGTGCCATATACACTACTTGCCTATTAATCTCTCTGTGGTGACAGAGAGACCACATTCATGTAGCTTTTATTACAGTATATTGTTATAATTGTTCAACTGTATTATTAGTTACTGTTGTTAATCTCTTGCTATGCCTAATTTATAAATTAAACTTTATCATAGATGATCCAGGAAAAAACATAATATATATAGGGTTTGATTCCATCCCTGGTTTCAAGCATTCGTATATGTACTATAGGGTTTGGTACATATCCCCGACAGTGTCTTAGAATGTATCTCCTAAGGATAAGGGGGGACTGCTGTATCCAGCAACCTGGCTGTAGTCACTCCTTAGTTTTAGGAGTTTTACTGGAGATTCTTCAGGGTATAATACACAGTTAATCTTATCACCTGTGCACAAAGACAGTTTCATTTCTTCTTTCCAAATTTTGTAACCCTTGTTTTCACGCTTATTGCATCAGCTAGGACTTCTATATGATGTTGAACAGAAGTAGTGAGAGGGGACATTCTTGCCTTATTCCTGAACTTAAGGAGAAAGGGTCCACTTTCTCACCATTAGGTACGATATTAGCTGTTGGTTTTCTGTAGATGTTCTTTATCAAGTTGAGGAAATGCCCCTCTATTACTAGCTGGGTGAGAATTTTTTATTTTTATTTTTTGAGACAGAGTCTCGCTCTGTGGCCCAGGCAGGAGTGCAGTGGTGTGATCTCGGCTCACTGCAACCGCCAACTCCCTGGTTCAAGCTATTCTCCTGCCTCACCCTCCCGAGTAGCTGGGATTACAGATACATGTCACCATGCCCGGCTAATTTTTGTATTTTTAGTAGAGACAGGGTTTCACCGTGTTGGCCAGGATGGTCTCAATCTCCTGACCTTCTGATCTGCCCACCTCGGCCTCCCATAGTGCTGGGATTATAGGCATGAGCCACCCTGCTTGGCCAGCTAGGTGAGAATTTTTAACATGAACGGGTATGGAGTTCCACTTGGGCATGATGAAAAAAATGTGGAGCTGGATAGTAGTGAGGTTGCACAAGAATGTCAGTGTACTTCATGTACACTTAAAAATGGTTAAAATGATAAATATTTTGTATATTTTACCATAATAAGAATAGGGTATTTTGAAGACAACAACACAACCTCCCACATGTGGCTCTAGCCACTTGCACTCCAGATACCCGGCCGCACCCGTCTCAGGCCCTTGCACGACCTTCCCTCTGTCCCAAGGCTCCTCTGCAGATACGACAAAGATGAGTGGACAGATGCAAGGGGATAGGCAAGGTGACACTGAAGACATACTCAGAAGGCGCCCTGTGGCTGGGTGTGGGAGAAGCCTGGAGGGGGCTGAGAGTAGCAGTTGGATTCCTGTCCACCTTCCTGTGCTTACTACTAGCTGGTAAGTACAGGAAGCCAGCTAACCTCTTGTAGTTTCAGTTCCCTCATCTGTAAAATGGAGGTATCAGTGCCGTCAAGCCAAAGGCCACCAGGAACCTGCCTGTAATTGAATGAGTTGGGGATTATCTCTCATTGCTGCGAGAAGGATGCAGATCATGGAGAACTACAAGGCATCTCAGTAAGAGGTGTCGGGAAAACTTACTAAAGGTTATGGGCTTAAGTTGGGTGATTTTTTTCATGGATCAGATGCTGTCAGGAATTGGGGGAGTGGATGGGGGGAAAGGGCGGTTCTCTGGGCACCTCAGTAGATGTTATCTGTGAGAAGGCCAGGGCAGAGGGAGGCTCAGCTGTAGCTGGTAGAGGAGCAGCGGTCATTGCTACTAACTTGGGGAGGATATGTCTTAGATTTTGTGGGTGACACAGTGACCCTATTTTTGTTTGTGCTTAGACAAAATTATGATGTGGCCTTGGATCATGATGGTGCTTCTCTACAAAAGTATTTATGTCCAATAGGAGACCCCATGGCCTCCATCTGAGCGCCAGGCCAGTTCCTGATGTCATGGTCCACTTTTCTTCTTGGAGGTCATACTAGTATCTATTTCTTGGAAATAACCTATGTAGAGTGCTTAGTATGTACCCTGTGAAGGGTTATGAATGCTGATGGTAGTGGGAGCTGATATGGAGGGGAATGCAGGAGACACCTTGGAAAACCAAGCAAGAGTCTGAAGTTGTGGCAGGCCAGGTTTCACTAACACAGGCGTCCATTACAACTGTCCCAGCACGGACTGAGTAGCCAGGTTAAACATTAAAAGCTGATTGAGCCAATGCCCTTATACAAAGGTTGGAATGTAACAAAGAGCCCACCAAGATTTTTGCCTAGGCTTTTCCTGGGCCTTGAAGCATGACAAGATAATGAAGGAACTCTTAACAGGACCCTTTTAGGATTAAACAAATTGTATTAGGGATCTGAAGAAACTCCCCAGGCCTCCACAAATAAGTGTATGGGGGTCTAAAGGAACTGCCCATACCATTATGATTTAGCAGGAGATGAGATAAGGGTAATCACCCCAGCACCTGGACCCATTTAGATTAAGTAAACTTACTGAGGCTCCAGGAGAGGGTCTTCAGGACTTAGATCTTAGTTATAGATTAGAAGAAGTTAATCTCTATGTCTTTAGATGAATGCACACGTACACGTAGACATACAGCTTAGAAGGTATACAAGCTTCAGAAAACTTTGTAATTTTGAGTTGGTCTGGTGATAATTTCCAGGCCTTCTCCTTGTAACCGGTTACAGAAATAAAACCTCCCTTACTCCCCAGCTTACCTGCATCTTGTTATTGGGCCAGGAGAAGTAGCGCCCGACCCTCAGTTGGTTCCAGGAACAAAGGGAGTGTCTGAAGACAGCAGTGATGTGATCACACTGTTTTAGGAGGACCACTCGCCAGAGCCCAGGGGAGTGGTGGGAGGGGTGGGGAGAGGTGAGGGGAGCTGGGGCAGGGCAAGGAGGGATGTATGGAGGACATGTCCCCTGGCAGTAGGAAGAGGGTCAAAGATGACTCCAGGGCTTCTGTAATTTGAAACATAAGCTCTCAGGTGGAAGGACACTACTGAGAGCCCCATGAAGGTCATGAGGTGGTGGGCCATCTCAGGTCCATGGATCCAGGACCATGGATCAACAAGAGAAGTGAGGTTTCCCTGGGACCACATAACGTGTTGAAGGCACCGGCCTTTGGTTTTCAAACTCTGCTCCTAAGTGGAGCTCCAGGGTCTGGGTAGGAATGCGGCGCAGGAGGGAGGCGGGGACGGGAGACCCAGGCCCACTCATCCGCAGCAGCGACGCTGGCACTTGCTGCACATATGGGGTGGTTTGCATGGCTGTACTTGAAGAAAAGGTTCCGCAGCTAAAGCCCATCTGCAAAGCCCCACGCGAAGTTTGGGCAATGGGCTGTGTGAACCCTGAAAATGTGAGACAGGTCTCAGTTAATTTAGAAAGTTTATTTTGCCAAGGTTGAGGACGCGCCCGTGACACAGCCTCAGAAGGCCTGGCGACCTGTGCCCAACGTGGTCGGGGCACAGCTTGGTTTTATACATTTAGGGAGACATGACACATCAGTCAATACATGTAAGAAGTACATTGCTTCGGTCTGGAAAGGCGGGACTTGAAGCAAAGGCAGGAAGACTCCAAGCGGGGAGGGAGCGTCCAGGTCACGGTTAGGTGAGACACAAACCGTTACGTTCTTTTGAGTTTCTGATTTGCCTTTCCAAAGGAGGCAAATCAGATACACATCTATCTCAGTGAGCAGAGAGAGGAGTGACTTTGAATGGAATGGGAAGCAGGTTTGCCCTAAGCAGTTTCCTGCTGGAGTTTTCCTTAGTGATCTTGGGGGCCCAGGATATTTTCCTTTCACAGCTGATTTCACAAAGCCGGCTGGGTAGGAGGGCCCCAGGGCCGGGTGGCAGGGCGGGGGTCCCAGGGCGGCTGTGCTTGGTGCTGGGAGGCCGCCCGAGGGCAGCGCCGGCCCCGAGTCAGCCGCCGCAGGGCACCCTGGAGATGCGAAACGCCCCCAGCCGTGGGTCAGCAAGGGCGTCTCAGGTGACCCTCAGGGAGCGCTTCTCAGGCAGCCTGTGCGGGGTCCGTCCTGGCTGAGCACTGCGCGGACGGCGCGCCCACGAGACTCGGACCCGGCCTAGGGCTCAGTGGGGCGGGCGGACGCGGGCAGCCCACGGGAGTGGGGCCCTCCCTGCGTCGCCATCACCCCTTTAAGTTCCAGGCCCGCGGCGCATGCGCAGTCAGGCCGTTGTGCGCAGGCGCAGAGGCGGCGGCGGCGGCGGCGGCGGATGTTTACGGCGGCCGAGGTTGGAGCGGCGCTGCCGGGCAGCGGACGCACGAGGGACGCGCCCGAGGAGCTGCAGGTCGCAGCTCAGGCGGTCCGAACCCGTCGGCCGGCCGAGCCTGGAGGTAGAGCCGCCGCCGCCGCCGCCGCCGTCCCCCCCCTCGGTCCGGCCTGCGGCGAGCGGGCGGTGTGTCCCCTCGGCCCCTTCCCTCCTCCTCCCCCACCCCCGGCACCCCTGCGCCCGGAGCGCTGCTCTGGGGGCCTCGCTTCTCCCCACCTCGGGCACCCTCGCTTCCCTCCAGCGGCCCCCAGGGCGCCCCGCGTTTCTCCGAGCGCTCGCGGTTTCCCTTCGGTCTCTCCCGGTGCCCGTTGCTCACTCACACTCTTGGGTCTGGTTAGTCCAGACCTGCAGCTTGTCCTTGATTTCCCAAGTGGGCAGCGTTTGCAATTCCAAGGCAAGCCAAGAACTAAGGTTTAGAACAAAGTCTACCTTGGACCCTTTCAGAAGATGACAATTTTTTTTAAAAAGTTGTCCCCCCCGCCCCGTGCCTTGGAGATAGTAAGAATTGGAGCAGAGCTCTGGGACTTCCCTTCACGCATCGAAAGAGATCTTTGTTAGTTGGAGGAAGAACTTGTCTGAGCTTCGTGCCTTTTGTTTTTGTGAGAGGGTTGTGTCTCCCAAATGAATGTTTGCTCCAGCGTGCACCTCAAATAAGTCACCTGAATATCCACGCCCTCTTTATCCACCCCCTCTTTACTCGTGTGCCTAGATTAGTTCTCATTTTCTTCTCAAGGGAATGGCTAAACAGCTCCGATGTGGGCATTTGATAGAATGTCATTCAAGAATGAGTGATGTTGAGGTGCCTATAAGCAACTCAGAAATTGTTGTGGCCGTGCTTGGGGGAAATAGAGCCTTACACTCAGGTGATGAGAGGAGACCTCAGAGGTGATGGGTCCAGGGCCTTTCTCCCTGTCCCACCCCAGCTCGTACCTCCGGTGGAACTCCGCTGGGGTTGTCAAGAGCTCCTTTCATTCATGGCAACTTCATTTGTTAGAAAGCTTCTCTATGTATTTAGTAGGCATTGTCTCCAGCATGTACCACTGGTCTGGCTTTTGTTAGGCCCATTTATAGTGTGCATGTGACAGCCTTTCAGGTACAAATGCTCCTCGACTTGTGATGGGGTCGCATCCCAGTAAACACGTCGTTAAACCTGAAGTCGAACCATCCTAAGTCGGAGACCATCTGTATTTGAAAAAAGTCCCTTTGCATTCCTTGTAAGAGTTCTGGTTTTCAAGGTGAGAAATCTGTGTGTTTGTTTGATCATTCTGCCCAAAGGAGATGTGGCTTTGGGTCCTTTTTCCCACTCATCTTCCACAACGAATTACTGTGTCCATATTACCCTTAAGAAGTGACATCCATGTTGGAGTGTGGTCTTCTCCCAAAACTCCATTACCATGCTTCATACTTGTGTTGACACAGCCACAATCACAACCTCCTCAGGTGTCAGTTCGGAGACCTTCCCCTGCCTGTCACCACCCAGCAAGTGTCCCTCATGTGCCCTGGCAGTTGGCATTGTAAGGAGCAGCCAGGTTGTCATGGACTGTTGCTAGTTACTACAGAGTAGTGAATTATAGTAAGGATTAATTACAGCAGATAATGTGCACAGTATCATCGAGTGCAGCATTCTAAAAATGATTCTACACTTTGAAAACTTGGATTTGACTAGATTGTAGAATCTAGGTGAAAATGATAGGATTTGGTTTGGCAAAGAGCTTAGTTGTCAGTGTTTTTGGTGACATCATGACTGATCACATCCACAGTCTGTTGTAAACAGCGATGGTTTCCAGCGTAAGGGAGTGTTAGATTACCAGACAAAGATGGTAATAAATGTCAGACCCTACAGCTATTCACATGGATCCTACCAATGGCAATAGATATAGATGGGGTTGCCCCATAGTCAAAAGGTGACTGGTGTGTTGTGTGGTAAAGAACGTTGCTGTCTTGAGTATTTTTAAAAGCTGCATTGGTGTGGTATTAAAAACACAGGCCTGTTGCCATACAGTCCTGGGTTTGAATTCAGCCCCCTCCTCACAAATTGGCTGACGTGATCATGAACAAATTAACTGGCCAGCTCCAATTTGCTCCTTAATGTTGTGAAGTGTAAATGAGGCCATGACTGGCAGGTGGTACCTGGAAAAGGGTGCTTGTTTTTACTAAAAAGCTGTCCGAACTTTCCAGTTAAGGACAGAGTTCAAAATAAGTGATAGTTACTTAATGGAAAATGAAACCTATCCAACATACAGTTTGAGGTTGCCTTCTAAAGATGTGGCATTGAGACAGAATGTCAGAACATTATATACAGGCTTCTGGGTGAGGAGGTGGCTTTGACTGAGGAGAGTATGTGATTTCCAGCTCGTTTCCTAAATAGAACCTTAAGCATCCAAACACATGATTCCGCTTTTAACCACTGACCTAAATTTTAAGATGACTGTGCCAGGCTAGGGGTGCAGCCACAGAGCTAAGTGGCTTATCCAGGAATAAACTTGACCTCATTAGGACTTAATTCCATCTAAGTCTAAGTCAACTGGCTGTGGACCGTAATCTAACAAGGGCTCTGAAACAATTCAAAAAATTCAAAAAGGGTGTGAAAATTTAATGACTGTACCATCCTATTGATTTGCAAAACGTAATATTCAGCTCTAAAATCTTGAGTATGAAGTTTGAGTATTCCACCATAAAAATAGAAGAGAATTTGTGTTAAGCCATAGCCTTCACCCTTTTTGTTCACTTGTAAGGAACTACGTGATTATTTTCATTCCTGGGAAAACCTCTCCCACCACGGTCGCCTGTTGTGTACGTGGGTGTGTGTGAAATCTGCCCCCGGCCCCTCGCCACCCTGCAGTATTTCTTAACCATCCTCGTTCTGCTGTTAGAAATCCAGAGGAATGTGAGGAGGAAAGCAAGTATAAACTTCATCATAATTATAACAGGTTGTTAAAAAGATTGTGTTCATTTCAGAAAATGTCTTCATGAGGTCTGGTGGTCTTTTCCCCCAACACTTTGTATCTGGTGTTTTGTAAAGCATTACCATTTTATGTGAAGTTAAAGCAGTTACTTTGAAAAAGTTACATGGGGTAAGTATAAAATTGGAAAGGATATTTTTGTAGTTTTAAGAAGAGTAAGACTTCTCCATATGGAAGAGTGTTTTCTTGTGAATTAGATGAAGCTACACTGTATTTTAATAGTTAGGCTCAGAGGTGACACATTCTGCGCTTTTTCTTCTTGAAGGCAGCTTGGGAGAAGGTAAGACAAGTAGTTGTTATTTTTAAAGAGTTGGGAAAGCTGCATATCATGCAATTAAGAAGAGGCTGTAGGAAGTTCTGGTAGCAGCCCTTCCTACACTTAAACTTTAGCCAGGAAGTTGATTTTGCATTTGTTAGGAGAAGGTGTTTGTCACAGTGTGTTCAATTTGGGAAGAGTGTTTTCTTGCTTTTTTTGTCTAAAATTTGAACATCAAAATATCCAGATCAACAGGTCAAATGGATTGCTTGACTTGGGTGGGTATTTTTGTGTTATGTTGGGGATGTAGAGTTCCCAGATGTAATATAGGACACCACCTAAATTTTTTTTCTTTTTTCTTTTCTCTTTTTTTTTTTGAGACAGAGAGAGTCTTGCTCTATTGCCCAAGCTGGAGTGCAGTGGCATGAGCTGTGCTCACTGCAGCCTCTGCCTCCCGGGTTCAAGCTTTTCTCCTCTCTCAGCCTTGCAAGTAGCTGGGATTACAGGCATCCACTAGCACGCCTGGCTAATTTTTGTATTTTTAGTAGAGACGGGGTTTTACCATGTTGGCCACACTGTTCTCGAACTCCTGACCTCAGGTGATCCGCTCACCTCAGCCTCCCAAAGTGCTGGGATTACAGTCATGAGCCACCGCACCCGGCCTAAATTTGAATTTCAAATAAATCTCAAATAATTTTTAGTGGTGTTGTTTACCTGAATTTCCAGTGGAACTGGGATTTTTTTTTCCTTCTAAATCTAGCATCTCTGGGTGGGGCGGGGGATGAGGTGGGTGTTGACAAAAGATAGTCTATTATTTTCAGAATTCAGAATTCGAAAGTGGTATCTGTTTAGAACTTTTATTGTTCTGCTCTTACTTTTAACATAAACCACTCTTTTTAAAAATTTTTAATTATAGTATTGCCTAAGTGTAATCTTGAACATGGGCGGTGCTGTGAGTGCTGGTGAAGACAATGATGAGCTGATAGATAATTTGAAAGAAGCACAGTATATCCGGACTGAGCTGGTAGAGCAGGCTTTCCGAGCTATCGATCGTGCAGACTATTATCTTGAAGAATTTAAAGAAAATGCTTATAAAGACTTGGCATGGAAGCATGGAAACATTCACCTCTCAGCCCCATGCATCTATTCAGAGGTGATGGAAGCCTTAGATCTGCAGCCTGGACTCTCATTTCTGAACCTGGGCAGTGGCACTGGGTACCTGAGCTCCATGGTGGGCCTCATTCTAGGTAAGTGTGGAAGGAGAGTCTGAAAACTCATCTGTCTCAGGGAAGGAGGCGTCTCCTTTGACAGAAAATGTAGTCTGCTAATGGCCCGCCTGGGTCGAGACCCCAGCCTTCCCAGTAGTTATCTGACGTTGACATATCACTGGGTGGTGGATGGAGGGATGAGGGAGGAAGGCCTGCATGCATCTCATGGCCCCAGGTTCTCCAGGGGGACCTCTCCTGTTCTCTGTCCCCTCTGCCTGTACTGCCACAGCCTGTACTGTGCACCTGCCCTCTGGACAGTGGAGGACAAAGACAGTTGTGTAAATCTTGACCCCGCTGTGATTTCTTGATTTAATTTTATCACTCAGTCTTCGTTGGCACTCCTTTTCTGAATCGATGGTAATTAACTTTAAAGTCCTTTCGGAGTACTTCTAAGCAGTTTTTTTTTTTTTTGACAGAATCATGCTCCATCGCCTAGGCTGGAGTGCCGTGACACAAACACGGCCCACTACAGCCTTGACCTCCTGGGCTCTAGCAGTCTTCCTGAGTACCTGGGGCCACAGGCGTGCACCACCACACCTGGCTAATTTTTAAAACTTTTTTGTGGAGATGGGGTCTTGGCGTGCACCACCATGCCTGGCTAATTTTTAAATTTTTTTTAGAGACGGGGTCTCGCCGTGTTTCCCAGGCTGGTCTCAAACTCCTGGGCGCCAGCTCTCCACCTTCCTCAGCCTCCCAAAGTGCTGGGATTACAGGCATGAGCCACCATGCCTGGCCAGATAACTAAGAAACAGATAACTAAGGAAAAACATCACTTGGTGCAAAATGCTACGGGGGGGCGGGGAAGGCATCTGTTTTTAACTCAGTAAGGTGGAAGGGTTTTGCCAGAGGAGTGGTAGGAGCTGATCTCTACTGTAAAACCTTGCTCTAAACAGGAAGCAGGGCCAGGCTGCTGAGGCATGCTGGCTAAGACACTGGATGAAACCAGTGCAGAGAAGCTGGAGTCTGTATTTTTTCTAAATCCTGTTAGAACTGACAGGATTTACGGATGGACTGTATATGGTTGTGAAAGAAACATCAAGAATGTGGCTTGACTTGGTGGTTCATGCCTGTAATCCCAGCCCTTTGGGAGGCCAAGGCTGGAGGATCACTTGAACCCAGGAGTTTAAGACTGCAGTGAGCTATGATTGCGCCACTACACTCCAGCCTGGGTGACAGAGCGGGACCTCGTCTCTAATTGAATTTTGTGGATATGGAATGAGAATTTTGTTTTTTTTTTCTAAGTCTGTATAAATTGGAATTTGGTGAAGTTTTGAGACCGATTATTTTGACTTTAGGCTATAGATTGCTACCTTCAGGTGTAAAAATGTTTAGATTTTTATAATGCTTTTTGACTTTAACTTCTCTTCGATGGAAACTGTTGTGATCCTTGTGCTTTGAGAAGAGAACACGGTGCCCAGGTTATTTATCATTTTTGAATTTGGGAATTGTGATTTCCTCCAATGTAGCTGAAAAATTGGAGCTATAGCTAAGGTAGAACCTTGGGGAGAAATAGGTGCTCTAGCTGACTAGATTAGAAATGCTGTTGAAAAGAGCCAAAATGCTTAGGAAAAGATGACTTAAAGTAAGCCTGAAATGGCCAGGCGTGGTGGCTCACGCCTGTAATACCAGCACTTTGGGAGGCTGAGGCAGGCAGATCGCTTGAGGTCGAGTTTGAGACCAACCTGGCCAACATGGTGAAACCCTATCTCTACCAAAAGTATAAAAAATTAGCTGGGTGTGGTGGTGCGCACCTATAATCCCGCTAACCAGGAGGCTGAGGCTGGAGAATCACTTGAACCTGGGAGGCGGAGGTCACAGTGAGGTTACAGAGGTGCCACTGCACCGCAGCCTCCATCTCAAAAAGAAAAAAGGAAAGTAAGCCTGAAACGGCCTTGCTGTAGTTGACATCCCCTAGAAGTTATAAGAAAAGGCCTTCCAACTTGATATTGTTGCTTGTCTTTTCTGAATCCCCTGTTTACTGGGAATTTCGTTGGATTTTGGGAGAAGAGACGTCTGAAGGAAGGCAGGCCTGTTTTCTGCTGTAATGGATGTGACATGCTGCTTTGATGCAGTTGGAGGAAGTGACTTCAGGGTTTGCTGTCATGGATGCATGTCTTGGCTGCGTCTCCAGATGCTGCAGCTTATTCAACCTTAACAGCACTTTGTGCAAAGCACTCCAGAGTGAAAGCTCATTGGCTTCCCAGTGCCTGTGAATGTGGCTCTCTTATCTGACAGATTTCTTTACTGTGACCCTTCATTGCCTTTCACGTGGTCTGAGCTGCATCCTGGGTCAGCCATGTTCCTGTGCTTGCTCTGTGGCCTCCTCTCCCCTTTGCTCAGGGCTGTCCTTACCTTCGTTTGTCATCAACCAGGGGAGAATACAGTAGATACTAAGAGATGGTGACTCATAAGTCACCTACCTGAAAAAATGCTGTGTGATTAGGAAGCAGGGCATACCTGGGAGTGACTCTGCCAGGGGAGGCCTTGCAGGTCTGGCTTCAGTGCCATGTTCCAGTGCCGTGTTCCAGGTGCCGTGTTCCTGACACCCCCCCGCCACCCTGTGTCCTCCTTCCCCTGCTAGTCATCTTTTTATTAAGCAGGTGGGTTGAGATATTTGTGTTACTACTGTTTGGTGTTAAGCTTCTTGGGAATAGGACACATACCTCATATCTGTTATTAGAATTAACTGCTTATTAAGTGCTTGATAGTGAAGGTGAGGGGTCAGTGAAAATAAGATGAGTAGGAAAAATCAAGCAGCTATTTTTGGTCTCTGGCACAGTGGCAGAGTCGGGAATTGAAGTCGGGGAGTTGTCAGAAGGTCTTGACATTCGGAGTAATTCAGGATTTCATGTTGTAAATAGTGAAAAGTTGAACTCTCAGGTAGGGTGTATTTTGATGAGGTAATGTTTTAGCAGCAGCTCTGTGTGTGAAATCTGTTGAGAGAGAAGAGCAGCGGGTACAGTTGTCCAAATGGGGGCCAGGGAAGCCCTTTCCTGGGCTGGTAACTCTTGTCCTAGGAGGGCCCGCATGGTGCAAAGGTGTGGGAGGCACAGAAGGTTGCTTGTTTCTCAGCATTTCTGTGAGATTGTAGGGTCCAGTGCTGCATGATCACTGTGGTAGATGCGTCTACTAAGTAAAGTCCTACGTGCCCTATTGATTTTTACATGTAGACTTAAAAAGTTGACGTGTAACTTACCCATGTAAATGAACAAGTGTGAAGTGTGAATTCTGATGGACTTTTACATGTGCATCCACCTCCATATAAACTCCACCCGGAGCAAGATACAGACTAGAATCAGCACCCCAGAAGGCTCCCATGCCCCCTCCTCCTTCTAGAAAGGTCCCCAGTGTTGCACCTTCCAGAAAGGTGATGACGGTTTTGCCTTTGTCAGTATAGATGAATTTTGCCTGATTTTTACCTTCGTGTAAGTGGATTCCCACAACAGAGAGACTCAACAGAGAGACCCATAACAGAGAGACTCATATTGAGTGTCAATACTGTGTTCTCAGTTAACGTAGGGGCAGTTTTATATGGAGGGAGGGCTTTCATCATTAAGTGGACTTGTAACATTTCTCAGTTTTATTTCAAATTACTGATAAATATCCTTTGATATAAAAAATGTTTCATTGCGACTCGGAAGCATAGTTTTATCTTAATGATGATGATTGAACCCTGTTTTGTGAATATTATAATGCACACATCTGAGTGTTTTGGGAAACTTTTCAGGGAAAGCAGAATTGTCTTAAATGTTACCTCTGGACAAACAGGTGAGGCCTGTGTCAGTTGCACTTGCAAATACATGTTTCTTCTGTAGTTCATTAGTAAGACTTGAACATTTGGTTTGTTTCCATTTTCAAATGATTCTTTAAAAGTTTGAGAGCAGAGAAGCCCAGGCTCCAAGTATTTATGATGTGGTGAGCCGTGATAATGTGATGAGACTTCAAAACTTGGTGAGTGTCTGCAGTTGCAGATGCTAAATCAGATGCGTCACAGTTGGTAGAAGTAAACAAATGAGCAGGAGCCCTTGCTCTGGTTCTACATGTTTTCTTATTCTTAAACGTTTTAGGTCCTTTTGGCGTGAACCATGGGGTGGAACTTCACTCAGATGTGATAGAATATGCAAAGCAGAAACTGGACTTCTTCATCAGAACAAGTGATAGTTTTGACAAGTAAGATGAAATACTATCCATTGGCTCAGATAATGTGAATTATAATTTTACAAAGTTTTGCTCAGATAGAAAGAAATCAGCTTATTAGTGTTCAAGTGGTAGCAAACGTAAATAAACTGTGGTAGGATGATCCTATGTGCCTGTTCTAAGTTTTAAAAAATATTCTGTGTTTTTGAGGATTTTAGGGTATTTCAAACTGTTACACCTACATAAGGTAATTTCTGACCAATATAAGAATAGAAGAAAACAGAAAATGTTCATTTGCTCAGTATTCATGTTTCCTATTTAAGACAACTTTTTACCACCTAATTTTTCCTAAAATGAAATTGTTGCATTTTTCTTTAAACAGTATATATAACTAGCTTTTGCCATTTTAAAATAAGACGTTAACGTTCTTATTTTAGGGATTAAAATTTTTAGAAACACCAAGTGCAGTTTCACCACCCCCACATCTCACTCATTGTGTTAATAGATCTCACATAAGATGATAGGAAGATGACACAGACAACAGTGATTGGAGATTGTGTTAAATATGGATAATACTTTTGATACTCACTTTCATACTGTTTTGTTTGGCATTTCTAGAGTTCTTGTTATATAGTATAATTCTTTTTGGAAGTAATTCTTGGACGTTTGTAATTCTTTCCTTCCAGCTCCTTGCTCTGTAAACTGTGTTACATTGCTGTGGGATTTTAACCTGTGGTTAGCATAGGTTTACTGTATAGACTTGTTGCAATGTGATACCTTTAGTTGCAAGAAGCATTTTTTACTTCCAGGTTTGACTTCTGTGAACCTTCCTTTGTTACTGGGAATTGCCTGGAGATTTCTCCGGATTGTTCTCAGTATGATCGTGTGTACTGTGGGGCTGGTGTGCAGAAGGAACATGAAGAATACATGAAGAATCTTCTCAAAGTGGGAGGGATCCTTGTCATGCCACTGGAAGAGAAGGTCAGATTCCCTTCATAACTGACATTTTTGCACACTGTTTGCCAAGGTCTGTTCTGGGCAGTTTATGTATACTTACTCTTTTAACAATTTCCTGCATTTCATAAATGAGGAAACAGAGGCAGGGACAGGTGAGGGAGATGCCAGGTCATGCACATAGCCTAGGTGGGGCCAGAACCTGACTCAGGTGGGTACTTCAGAGCCTACACATGAAACCCTTTTTCTCCCCCTTCCTTCTCTCTCTCTTTCCTTTTCCTTGTTCTGTCCCTTCCTCCTCACCTCCCTCTTCCTTCCCCTTCTCCTTCCCCCCAGCTGTTCTGAGTTTTAATTCTAATTGTTAATCTGTTATAATTGTTCTGTTGTTAGAATTATATATAACATTATTAGAGTAATTCTATTCTCATCATTAGTCTAATTGTTAAATGCCTTGATGTTATGCACTTTACAGGAATCCTTTACTTAGTGAGAGTCTTGTCCAAGTTTGCTATTTGGTCATGCATGTTTGTCTGTGTTACTGTGTTTCACTGTGAAAAATAGTTCATAATAAATGAACAGATTAATCAGACATGAATTGGTCACCAAGAAGAATGTCTCCCAGTCACAAAGAACTAGGAAAACACTAATAGTAAAAATTAGGAGGTTTTAATTGTTTCAATAAAAATTTGGAGATGAGATCTTGCTCTGTCATTCAGGCTGGAGTTAATAGCTGACTATAACTTCAAACTCCTGGGCTGAAGTGACCTTCTGCCTCAGCATCCAAGCAGCTGGCACTGTAGGCACGTGCTGCCATGCCCAGCTAAATTTATTTAATTAAATTAATTTATTTAATTACAGACAGAGTCTCACTGTGTTGCCCAGGCTGGAGTGCAGTGGCGCAATCTCAGCTCAGTGCAACCTCTGCCTCCTGGGTTGAAGCGATTATCCTGCCTCAGCCTCCTGAGTAGCTGGGATTACAGGTGCGCGCCGCCACACCCAGCTAATTTTTGCATTTTTAGTAGAGACAGGGTTTCACCATGTTGGTCAGGCTGGTCTCGGAGCGCCTGACCTCGTGATCGCCCGTGTCGGCCTCCCAAAGTGCTGGGATTACAGGTCTGAGCCACTGCGCCTGGCCTAATTTTATTTTTTTAGTGACGGGCTCTCACTGTGTTGCCCAGGCTGATCACAAACTCCTGGCCTCAAGCAGTCGCCTCACTTCAGCCTCCAGAGTTGTTGGCATGAGCCATCACACCTGGCAGAATATTGTTTTAAATGTCTTTGCTTATACAAGTGAAATTACAGGTCTTTGTTGCTATACAAAAATGCATTGGATTTTTTACTGGAATTGTATCATCTCGATTAGTTTGAGGATTGTGGACATCTTTACAATGTTTCGTCTGCTTATGTAGAATATGAAATAGGGGTTTATAGTTTTATTTACGGTTTTATACATCATTTATTGATTATATGGAAATACTTGTTTTTCATTATAACGACATTCTTTTAAAAATGTTTAAACACATGTTTTGCTGCTATATAAGAATGTTTGTTGATGTTTACTTAGTACATGGCTATTAATCCTTTAAGTTATGAGATTTGTGACATAGAATCTTAGTTTTTAGAGGATTTACTGACTTAGATATTTTTAGAAAAGGCCAGCATGTAATCATAGCATGAAAGAACTGACCAAAAATAGTTTTGTGACCTGTGTAGGCCACTTGGAGACTGACCCAGCCACACAGAGCACACAGAGGGTCATGTCTAATTGTGTTCTCTGGTGCTCCGAATACTTGAATTCAAAAGAAATGTTTTGATGACCTACACTGGAGTGTGTTAAGCCACCAGATTCCGGTGCTTTCGTGGGGGTGATATCAGGGCAAGGCTCACTTAAACACTTCGGTGTTTGTCTCCAAAGCATGAGGATAATTGCCCAGGCATCCGAGATGACAAGTTTGCTTTTAAAAAAGTAACAGGGATTCTATATAACAGTATCTGTGACTACAGTGCCTATCAGGAGTTACGCCCGCCGCTCCCTCCCCCCGCCCCCAGTAACAACAGGTCAGGATTCAGTTGGTTATTAACATATCTTTAATTACTTTATACTTTAGAACAGACCCCCTTTTCACCCTCAATGTTGACTTTTTTGGAGAGTGCTAGAGCATTGTCTTATAAGAATCCTCACATTCTCTATGTGATTGTTTCCTCTTGCTATCCTATAACTAGTTTCTCTATAATATATAATTTCTGTAAACAGAAGTTAGGCCTAGGGCCTGAATATATTCAGGTTAAGCATTTTTGCAGGAATATTCATAAGACAGATGTACTTCATGGCACATCACATTAGGGGTCCATATGTCAAGATATTTCATTTTATTGTAAGCGTATCTATGTATTTTTGTAGTATGTATAGGAATGATTAAATATGAGCTATTTAGTAGCCAAATCTTTTGAATATTCTCATTTTGTCTCTGGGATAGTTGACTAAGATAACACGCACGGGTCCTTCAGCTTGGGAAACCAAAAAGATTCTTGCTGTTTCTTTTGCTCCTCTGATCCAGCCCTGCCATTCAGAGTCAGGAAAATCAAGACTTGTCCAGTTACGTAAGTATACCAGTCTTTACTTATTTTATCTTTTAGATCTTTTTCGTCTGGTTAGATTTTAAAAGGAAACAAAGCTTACAAAGAACCTTTTGATATTAAAAAGCACCACTCCCATGCTGAAACTAAAATTCTACAAGCAATTTCAGGCATTAAAAAAGTTATAATCTATTTTTAGCCTATTTCAGGTTATTTTAGCTGTCTTTTAAATCTACAAAGAGCTGTTGCTGGTCACGCCACTGAAAGCGTAGGACGCACATAAAAGGGAGCTCATTTTGCCACGTGGGAGACTGAGCCTCTTTGCCGCTTCCGCTGGGTGAGGTCTTCAGAGAGAGCCATCGAGAGGGCTCCTGCAGAGTCATGGGGCATCTGTTCCCCAGGGCACCAAGCGCCTGCTGCCTCATGAGTAGACGAGGGCAGAGAACACATTCCAGCTAATCTGCTGGGGTGGATAGGAGACTTTCCGTGGAACCTTACACAGCCGAGCCTTTGTGTTTCACTAGTTGAGGATGCAAACTGAGCAAGGAACTGATACCAGGGCCAGCACGATAGCAAAACCTCCTGATGTTTTAAAATTTAAACAACTCACACAGAAATGAGAGTTCCAATTGATTTTATTTAAAATAAAACTATCAGGATGCTCTCTGATCATTTAGAAAATTTGGAAAATGCAAATTTTAGGAAGGGAAATGCAAATAATAGGAAAAAGTTTTGCATAGTCCCACCACTCAGAGACAATACATTTTGGCAAATGTCTTCCAGAAAAGTTTTTTGGTTTATTAGGAATCATCTATTAAATGATTACACTTTGCTTTGGTCTCTACTAAGTACAAGTTCTAAGAAATAGACACGGTTCTTGAAATTTGATAATGAGCAACAATAGGACATGCAAAACGGTTGGAGTAATTAGGGAAGGTTTGGCAGAGGATGATGTTTGTGCTCGGCCTTCAAGGGCAAAAAGCAATTCCCCAAAGAGGAGAAAGTGGAGAAAAGTGCCAGCAATGGTGGGGCAGAAGTCAAAATGCATGTTCCCCGTATAGTCAGAGTTGGGACTGGTGGGAGAAACTACTGGTATGTAGGTTAGAATTGGGTTTATCATGTTGGCTGGGCAGAGCTATCAGATGCTTCAAGCAAAAGATCCTGGATAAGCCTGGTGGTCAGGTGGAGGGTGAATCTGTCAAATGCATGCTCTGAAAATCTCACCAGAATAACCTTTTTAAGTAAGTGCTGCTCTTGGCTGGGAGGTCACCAGCTTCCAGAGCCTTAACAGAGTTTGGGAAGGCAAGGGCATCTTTGGGGTATTTATGAGACTTTTTGAGGGTCTGGTTCAAAATGAGTCTTTCCCTGTGAGGGCTTCATCTGGCCTGATAAGAATCATGACAATGTGGTGGGCAGTTTGGATGCTTGTTTTGCGGAGATGGTTTTGAAGAGAATGTAAGATAATCAATATTAATGTGATGCTTTTAGAGTTTCTGAAGTGACCCATTGGGTTATTTGCAACTTTTCTTTTCCTGGGCCAGAGTTTCCTAGACTAGTAAAGTCATGTTCGTGAAGACAGTGGAATAGAAAACTCTGTGAGTCTAGACATACGTGATACTGGATCATGTGAGTGTAGATGCGTGGTGTGGGGTGTGTAAGTTTAGACCTGCATGATATGGGGTCAGAGCGTAGACGTGCACAATGAGGGGTCATGAGTGTGGACATTTGCAGTGTGCGGTCACGTGTGTGTGGGTGTGCGTGGTGTGGGGTCGTGTGAGTGTGGGCACGCATGGTGTGGGGTGATGAGAGTGTGAGAATGTATGGTGTGGGGTCGTGAGCGTGGGCGTGCATGGTGTTGGGTCATGGGTGCAGGCGTGCACGGTGCAGGGTTGTGTGAGTGGGCGTGCACGGTGTGGGGTCATGGGTGCAGGCGTGCGCGGTGCGGGGTTGTGTGAGTGTGGGCGTTCACGGTGTGGGGTCGTGACTTGAGGTGTGCACGGTGTGGGGTCGTGACTTGAGGTGTGCACGGTGTGGGGTGTGAGTGCGGGCATGCATGGTATTGGGTCATGTGAGTGGGCACACGTGATGTGGGGTTGTGAGTGTGGGCGTGCGTGGTGTGGGGTCATGGGTGCAGGCGTGTGCTGTGGGGTCATGTGAGTGTGGGCGTGTGCTGTGGGGTCATGAGTGCGGGCGTGCACGGTGTGAGGTGTGAGTGGGTACGCGTGATGTGGGGTCACGTAAGTGCGGGCATGCACGGCGTGGGGTCGTCTGAGTGCGGGCACGCATGATGTGGGGTCGTGAGTGCAGCTGTGTGCGGTGTGGGGTAATGTTCATGCACGGTGTGGGGTCGTGTGAGTGCGGGTGTGTGCGGTGTGGGATGAGTTCGGGCGTGCACGGTGGGGTTCATGTGAGTGCGGGCATGTGCGGTGTGGGGTCACATGAGTACGGAAATGCATGGTGTGGGATCATGTGAGTGTAGATATGTGTGGTGTGGGGTAGATGGGTTAGCTTTCAGATTGAATGGACACAGGTCACATTGGAAGCAGGAACCAGTGGAAAGCTGTTGAAATTTTCCAGGCGAGATATAAAGATGAAAACTAAGAGACTGGCTTCTACAGTGGAGAAGATTGAATGATACATACAATGATACAGTCCTTCTGAGGAAGGACATGTGAGGTGTTCATTGTTTGTTGTAGACCTGGGTCTATGGGAGGCTCAGGATCCTGGTCAGGACTGGATTAGAACCTTGGGAGCTATTGGCTGGCCTCTGTTATTTAAAGCCACAGAATGGATGTAAAACCAAGGACTAGCAGTCATACTGAGAGGGGGAAATGGTGGAAATTGGAACCTTAGGGAGCATCACTGGGCTGGATGGAAGAGGAAGAGCCTGCAAGAGAAAAGAGCTGTGGAGGTCAGAGGGAGCGGCTGTGCCTTGGGCCAGGGTAGCAGTGAGCCACGTTCCTTATCCCAAGCCGACACCTTGGCGATCTGGAGAGGCCAGAGCTGAAGGCTGGGACCCTGAGGGCCTCGGAAGGAGTTGTTTCAGCCTTTTGGGGCAACAGCTAGATCCTAGTGCTCTGGAAGTAATCTTTCTGGATGTGAGATGATGAAGGAAGGATGGCTCTACTTGAAGAGGGAGCTGGGTCACAGATGGGGCAAGAGGCATGATCGTGTTGTTTGGTGAGGAGACAGGATTGAAGACAAAGGAAGTGCCAGAGCCTGTCCTGGAGAAAGGAGAAGGGACCTCTTGTCCGTGGAGTCAGAAAAACAGGAAAGGTTGAAGGGAGAAGGTGCTACTTACTGCCAAGGACCTGGGACACAAGCCTGTTTGAGGGTTTCCGAAGAACAGTGGAGAGAATCTCTGCAGGCCTTTCTGATTTTGGTGATAAATGTGTACAACACAAGAGCTCTCCCTGTAATGCAGACTGTTGTTCTTTGGAGAAGTGGAGTACTGGAGGGGAAAAGTGATGCTGATTTACTTTTATTAATGATATATAATTAATACTAAACTATAAGTTTAATGTAATTTTCCCTTTGAGAAATATTGCCTGCATGAAATTGTGAGCTTTAATTGTCAAATGTTCTTTCTCCTTGGTGTGCTTTAGAGTTTTTGCTTTTTCTGAAAAATGTTTGGATTTGCATTTCTGTACTTTAATAAAAATGGAACAAATATTCAATGTGTGAATAGCTATGAAAATATTAGTAGATAAAAGAATATTAGGCTGGGCACGGTGGCTCATGCCTGTAATCTCAGCACTTTGGGAGGCTGAGGCGGGTGGATCACTTGATGTCAGGAGTTCAAGACCGGCCTGACCAACATGGTGAAACCTCGCCTCTACTAAAAATACAAAAATTAGCTGGGCATGGTGGCACGTGCCTGTAGTCCCAGCTACTGGGGAGGTTGAGGTGGGAGGATCACTTGAACCCAGGAGACGGAGGTTGCAGCGAGTGGAGATCGCACCCTTGCACCCCAGCCTGGGTGACAGAGTAAGACTCTGTCTCAAAAACAAGAATGTTGGAGACATATTCACTCTATTACTAGTAGGTGGGTATTAATACACACATGAACGCGCAGACGATAGAATAATGAAACTAGGCTGTTGGAGACATATTCACTCTATTACTAGTAGGTGGGTATTAATACACACATGAACGCGCAGACAATAGAATAATGAAACTAGGCTGTTGGAGACATATTCACTCTATTACTAGTAGGTGGGTATTAATATACACATGAATGCGCAGACAATGGAATAATGAAACTAGGCTGTCAGGAAAACAAACTGTAACCCAGGTGTTGGTTCCACCACTGATTAATGTAGCCAAGCAGTATTGCTTCCTTTCCCTTTCAAAGTTAAGAACTGATGCATTTGAAAATGTCTTTTGAAAAGTACCATATGATTGTAAATCAGAGCACTAATTTACATTTGCTTAGCCTGCTCTCATATTCTTTCAACATATTCATAAATTTGCAAGTTAATTCAAATGAAGTTACGGGTCTTAGATGTGTAGGCATTGTGGTCGTGTTGCTCAGATGAGTTTGACTGTGTCTCATTCTTTTGTGCCGCAGCACCAGTGGCAGTTCGCAGCCTCCAGGACTTGGCTCGCATTGCCATCCGGGGCACCATTAAAAAGGTTATTCATCAGGAAACTGTGAGCAAAAACGGAAACGGACTAAAGAACACCCCCAGGTTTAAACGAAGGAGAGTTCGCCGCCGTCGAATGGAAACGATTGTCTTTTTGGACAAAGAAGTCTTTGCCAGTCGGATTTCCAACCCCTCAGATGACAACAGCTGTGAAGACTTGGAAGAGGAACGGAGGGAAGAAGAGAAGACCCCGCCTCAAACAAAGCCAGACCCCCCAGTGAACTTCCTACGCCAGAAGGTCCTGAGCCTCCCTCTGCCAGATCCCCTGAAATACTACTTGCTTTATTACAGAGAAAAATAAGTCTCCTGTTTGAAAGGGGGAAATGAGGAAGAGCAGATTGCTGAGTCTGAAGTTTGTGCTGCCTATGTGCTGTTGAACCTGGAGGCAGACATTGCGGGGAAGGGAACTGCTGGGCTCATCCACATCATGGTTTTCTTCTTCTAGTTCCTGATTGGCCTCTAAAATTGTATTCAGTTGTATGATTTCTTTACGTAATTCCACAAGACCTTCATTGCATAGAAGATTGTTTTCCCAAAGTGGAGAGAATCTTCATAGAGAAAAAGAGAAGGCTGTTTCTTTTTCGGCTCTGATGAAACACTAAAGTGTGTGTAAGAGAGACTGTTTGACGACCGTCCCTCATACAACATGCACGTTACTCCCTAAAGATGAAAACCAAAGTGGAAACTAACCTGTGTTGCTTATAAAGTGTGAAAGCACAAGCTTATAAATGTATGAAATCTTTTCTGGATGTGACGCACCTGCATCCAAGTTTGAATTTTTATGATACGTGCCACTTAGTTACTGGCACTGAGTATCACTGAATTTCTTAGTTTTCTAGTGGGGAAACATTATTGAGAAGCCCTCCCTTATTTTAAGTAAGTTAATTAAATCTTATGTGAGTTGTCAGTTGAAATTTTTCAAAGGAAAAATTTTGATGGGGTGGAGGAATGAACTGCCAAATAATCTTTCTGGAATTCCGGGAGAATTCCAAAGAGGGTTTTGTTTTTTTTTTTTTTTTTTAATGACATGTTTTGATACCTTTAAAAGAATATCCTGGAAAAGGAAGCGAATTTTTTTCTGTGTGTGAGCAATAAGCGAAGTTACATGTGCCGTAACCGTAGGGATGCTTCTGTACCCAGTTTTAAAGATCATCATGGTTTTCTAAGGTGTTGACACCCTCCATCCTCAGAGCAGGTAGAAAGTGTTAAATAGACTGGGACTCTAGGTAGAAAGGAATTAGACTGGGGACTCTATGATGGACAGCCTGTGCTTTTTGACTTCAGTTTGCTATTTTTCTGTGATCACATTAGAGTACTGATTCATAGATTCTATCTTTTATAATTCTGGAGAAAAAGAGATTTGTTAGTTTTGTAATTTTTTTGTAAGAGCAAATGTATGTATTTTAGTAGCTCCATTGATGAGAACAGTGTAACTCGCACTGACTTGTGGTATCAGCCTTCTCTGAGCCTTGTGTGTGGAGAGCTTTCTATCTTACCAAGTGGTAGGGCTAAAAGAACAGCAGCGTTTTTGGTAGTCACATAGCAAAATGATCAGAGTTACATTGCTTATTCCAAAACATTGGTTCTTTTTAAAACATTTTTTTTTTTTACCCAAAGAAAAGAATAATATAAATTATTAACAATAAACATAAATTCAGAGTGTCGATATAGGATTCGGTATCCAGAGTTTATTGTTAATCTTAATCCTCAGCTTCTTGGGAGTTGCTGGGCTTCAGTGTCTCTGTGGTTTCGCCACGTTAGCTAAGCTCTGGTTATTTTGGATCTTTTCTGCTTTTTTAAGTAACTGAGTCATTTTTACCACACAATCCAGTTTGCATGTATAGCTGGGAAACGTATTGCTCTAGATTGGCCAGTTTAAGTCATTTTAAAGAAAGTTAGTTCATAGTTGTTGCCTTTTAACTCATAGTCAAGCTTCATTCTTTCAAAGAGAAACGTATGATTTACATTTACTTGCTAATATTTTGTAGTTTGGAGATCCTTGTGGGCATTATTCTAACATGTAGACAGTTAGTTGGAAATTTTTGGACATAATATTAAATGAGTGGTATCTGTGAAATTGGTTATATTAGGTGGCTTGACTAGGTTTTTTTCTATAATTGTATATGGACTGCATTTTTTAAAAAACCACATATGCCTTTATGCTAGATTGTAAAAAAAAAATTGTATTACAATGCATAAGACATGTTTTTCCCTCATATGCTAGACTTTTCCTAGCATTTCGTATTTCTGTGTTGTCAGTGTGTGATTTTTAAATCAGAATTTGGTTTAAAAAAATATGGTTGTAATATATGTGAGAAATAGTTTGGTGTTTACCTTATGAAAATAAAGGATTGTAAGTAAGGTTTCCCGCGCACCTTATAGCAGAATTCAATATAATATAATACACTACTTTCTGTTTTCAAACAGATAAATCATAATATAGTCTGTATTGTCTGTAAGATCTATCTCGTAAACCACATTCTTGACAACTATTTACTTTTGAGTAGTTTGTATTTTAATATGTGACTTTTGTCTTGAAAAGTAGTATAGTCATAGACTTGTGCAAAACAAATTTCAAATTTATAGATATTAAGTTTGTAATGAAAGAATCAAATGTGTATGTAAAAATACTTTTTACCAGTCTGGAACTTGGGAAAAATCCAAGGAATTTGCAACATAGATTTTAATGAGCTGGTAAACACAAATCATGTCAATAAAGGTAGTCAGGATATTTTATCCTTAGCATTGCTTCTGCATCCTGTGTGGGATTCCAATTCTTGAGTATGTTCTTTTAAAAATCTTAAGAACCTTTTTTCGTTATTAACATGTGTTTACTTTCAGCAAATATTTGTATTACTGCTTGATTCTGTGAAATTCACAGTAGATGTAGAGAAGGCATTATTTTTCATTAATAAATGTGAAATTGGAATGGACAAATGGAGAAGTGGCTAGCTCCAAGTACATAAGAGAATAGGGCCTTGAAGATTGCAGTTAATGTTTTTGGCGTAATTTTCCCACGTTCAACTTTTTAAGGGGCAGAAATTTTTTTTTTTCGTTTTCAGTTATCTGTTCAGAGCACAAATGTTATTTAGATCTTGAAATTCTGGGGCCAATCTCCCAAAGAGCTTATATTTTCTTTTTTCTTTCTTTTTTTTTTTTTTGAAACGGAGTCTTGCGCAGTCGCCCAGGCTGGAGTGCGGTGGCGCGATCTCGGCTCACTGCAAGCTCCGCCTCCCGGGTTCTCTCCATTCTCCTGCCTCAGCCTCCCGAGTAGCTGGGACTACAGGTGCCCGCCACTACGCCCGGCTAGTTTTTTTGTTTGTTTGTTTTTTTAGTAGAGACGGGGTTTCACCGTGTTAGCCAGGATGGTCTCGATCTCCTGACCTCGTGATCCGTCCGTCTCGGCCTCCCAAAGTGCTGGGATTACAGGCATGAGCCACCGCGCCCGGCCATACTTTCTTTTTTATTGTATGTGCTTGTTGGGATGTGTTTTACATTCTGCCTTCCAATTTTTTATTTTGACAGTTATATATTTTAAGATAATTTCATGCTGTCTTTACTGATCTCTGAATTTTCCTTCCTGCTGTATTCGTCAGGGTTCTTCAGAGGGACAGGACTAATAGGATAGATATATATATGAAAGGGAGTTGATTAAGGAGTATTGACTCACAGGATCGCAAGGTGAAGTCCCACAGTAGGGCATCTGCAACCTGAGGAGCAAGGAAGCCAGTCCGAGTCCCAAAACCTGAAAAGTAGGGAAGCCGACAGTGCCGCCTTCAGTTTGTGACTGCAGGCCAAAGAGCCCCTTTCAAACCACTGGTGTAAATCCAAGAGTCCCAAAGCTGAAGAACTTGGAGTCCGAGGGCAGGAAGCAAAGCATGGGAGAAAGATGGAGGCCAGAAGACTCAGCCAGTCTAGTCCTTCTGTGTTCGTCTGCCTGCTTTTATCGTAGCCGAGCTGGCAGCTGATTAGATGGTGCTCACCCAGATTGAGGGTGGGTCTACCTCTCCCAGTCCACTGACTTGTTAATCTCCTTTGGCAACACCCTCACAGACACACCCAGGAATGATACTTTGCATCCTTCAAGCCAATCCAGTTGACACTCAGTATTAGCCATCACACCTGCATATACTGTTACTTTCAGTGGATGCAGTATCTTAGACTTTTTTGAGGATCCTAATTAGAATTTTTTAAAATTTTGCTTCATCAGAGGTGGGAATGTGGATTCTGGCCCTTCCTTGAACAGAGAAGGAAACGGCCAGAAAGGAAGGAATGTGGGGACTTACTCCCCTACAGGTGACTTACCAGTTTGATCATATTGATCTTTCATTTCTTACTGCGTCTCTTTTTTTTTTTTTTTTTAACTGAACTGTTGGAGACTCACGTTTGCCTGTCTGTAATTACAAACCAGGCTGGAGTAGGGACAGTCATTGGCTAACCTCATTGTGGGATGAGGAGAGCTGGTCTTCAAGCCAGGGGCCTGGACATGTGAAGGGTAATGGTCTCTTGGAATCAGTGAGCCTCCTTGATCCGTCCGCAGAAATCCCTTCCTTCTGGTTCCCTGCTGCTGCTGGGCATCAGGATGCTCTCCCGCCATTCGAGCTCCTTGCAGACCATCCTAACCCTAACCCTGCTGTGCCCCAGCTCCCTGTCAGATGCCCATCACCAGGGGCTCCACTTGCAACCTGACTCTGAACAACTGTGGACCTTGTGCTTATATCTTTTCCCTTCTTTTTCTCTTGGAGACAGAGATGTAAGCCATTAACTATGTTGGAACCAGAATGTCCAAATTAGCACCTGAAGTTCTGCAAGGAAGAGGAAATAGCAGAAAGCAGGGGTAGAGTCATAGACCACATGATCAGGAAGTCCCTTTGATCTAGGAGGGCCCTGGGCAGCTGGGCACTGGGTGGTTAGGTGGTGGTTCTGGTGGTCAAGAGGGAGAACAGCATGAGCCCTGCCCCCAGGCCTATTGTTCTGTGTCAGAGATAAGGGTTGTCTTAATGCCCCGTATCCCCCACCTGGCCAGCTCCCACAGACTAAGAGGGCAGCAGCAGTAACTACTGTACCTTGAGCCGCTAAGGTGGCGAGGGCCACCCCTCTGCCATCACAGGAAACACGCAGAGCCTGGGCCCATCCCAGCCCTTGCCGGTAGCCTTTCCTGGGACCAGCAGGGCCCAGGGACTGTGTGAGGAGGTGCCTGGGTGTTAGCTGGTCACAGCCAGAGGCACGGGCTACATGAGGACCTCCAGGGCGTGTTGTCCACTCATCCTCATCAGGTAACAGGGTCAGTCCTGAAAGTTCTAGAACCATGACTTAGCCAGTTGCATCATGTCCATTTTGGGGAAAATAAAATCTCTGGAGCTGAACCTTGGCTGGGACTGGACCACCCAAGAAGTGGCACCTATGCAATGGTTAGAGGTCCGGTCCAGATGGAGGCTGAAGGCTCCTCCTCACCCACTCCCCACACCTGTGGGGAGGGGCCACTGCCCTCAGCATCCTCTGCCCACAGCACCGCCCCCACCCCAACACTTCCCCTTCTCCCCTTTCTGGCCTTATCCCTGGCCTCTCTGAGAAGAGGGACGTGGTCCCACAGCCTGCCCTCACCTCCTTAAAGGTCCAGCCTGGGCCCAGTGGACACAGTTGAGGCACCATCTTGTGCCTCTTTCTGTGCCTTCCTGAGGCACCTTTCCTAGACATTAAAGGGACATAATGGCTGTTCCAAAGTGTTGATAGCTGGAGGAGGAGCCAGGGGAGGTGTGAGGGGTGGGGTTTGGGCAGCCCTGGGTTTTCTGGGCTCCAGTGACAGCAGGATGCAGGCTTAGGGTCAGCTCTGGGTACAGTGAGGTAGAGACTCAGGGAACAGCTTCAGGGAGGCCACCCGGCCCCATCCCTCCTGGTCCACAGAGATCTGTTGTCTCGAAGTTCTGAAGTCCAGAGTCTGGAATGAGGGTGTTGGTGGGCCGGCCCTAGGGAGGCATCTGTTCCAGGGTCTTTCTCCAGCTTCTGGTAGTTTCTTTGCTTGTGACGGCAAAGCTTCAGTCTTCACAAACCTTATTCCCTGTGTGCATTTCTGTGTCCACATTCCCCTTTTGATAAGGACACAATCATCGTGAATGAAGGATGGCCCTAATGACTTCTTAACTTCATCATTTGCAAAGACCCTATTTCCATATAAGGCCATATTTGTAGGTACTGGGTGTTAGGACTTCAACATATGAATTGTTAGGGATGGAACTCAACCTATAACCTTGTCCCTGCCTGTGCCAGTGATCTCCACATTCCTCCTGGCCCCAAAGGCACCATGGCCCTTTCCAGGGTGCTCCATCCCCTTCCAGGGTACCCCAGGCAGATCACAGGAGGGCGTGACTGCTGGGGATGGGGCTGGTGCTGGGAACCTCTGCCCAGTGAGGGCTGGGATGAGACTATTATGGGGTTGGGGGTGCTGAAGTTTTGAAGGCAGGGTAAAATAGAGGCTGGGTCCCTCTCTGGACCCCAAACTCCAGGGAGCACCTCTCCTGGGGGTTCCCATGCTCCCTGTGGCTTGGGCAAAAAAAAAAAGTACTTGCAGTCCGAGGCCCCCAAAGGCGAAAGCCTTCTGGCCCAGATAAGCATCCTTCCTACCCTCTGTGCCTCCTGAGCCCCTGAGGTTTGTGGGGAGCCTCAGACTAGATCCTGGTCAGCAGGGTTGAGGCAGTCCTGAGAATGTATCTTTAGCATCCAGAGAATGGGAGGGTGTGGACGGAAGCAAGGTTCAGGTGTCCTCAGCTCTAACTAAGTATCAAATAGTAGCGTGAATCCACTTTCTGGAGCTGGCCTCTGGGGAGCCTTGGGTTGGTGTACAGAAACAGGGTCTGCCTGATTCGTGAAGTTTCTCATGGGGCCTGGAGCACCTCGAGATCACAAAAATGACCCCACAGCTTCGATGCCTCTCCTGTATGGGCTGGACACACGTTCATCTGACTCACAAACTCCCTGGGTGGCACCTGGAGACCCGGCTCTGGGCTGGAACCTGAGTGTGAAGCCACTGGAGGCTGTGGGATTGCAGGTCAGGTGAGTCACTCAGCCACCTGAGCCTGGCCAGGGGACTAGCTGTAGATAGCAGGGAGTTCACCTGAGCAAGACACCTGCACACGTTGGAGCTCAGAATACTCTGATTTCCTTTTATTGAGATGGGACAACCCTTGGAGAGCATGTGCCAAGGTCTGGATTACAGCAGGACAAGGTTCAAAAGACCCTGTGAGCCCTGAGGTGGTGTTGCTGATCCTTGGGTGTCTGTGAAGGCGAGAGAAGGTGACCTGGATCTGGAATGATGAAACGGCCATGGGTTTAGGAGCTGGCAGACATGTGTCCAGAATGCTGTTGGCCAGGCCTAGGCAACGCTGGGCTGTGCAGGACCTTGAACCCCAGGCTAAGAGGGCTCACCCTGGTGAGGGAATGCTGGGATGGGATTTTGTTTTTTTATTGAGGTAAAATCCACATAATATAAAATTAACTGTTTTAAGATGTAAAATTCGGTGACATTGTGAAACTGCAAAATATTGTGCAACCATCACCTCTTAGTTCCAAAACCCCAGAAGGAAGCCCGCTACCTATAAAGCAGCTACTACCCAATCTGCCCTCTCTCTGACCCCTGGCAACCCCTCATCTGCTTTCTGTCTCTGTAGATTTACATATTCTGGATATTCTACACGAATGGAATCATATAGCATGCGACCTTTTGTGTTCAGCTTCTTTCTTTTAGCATGTTTTGAGGTTC